TGACTCCTTCCAGAGCTTGACAGTGATTGGTCATTAAGTCAAAACAATTCACATGAAACCGATGAACAATCACCTGTGGGTAAACAATGTCCAAACACATTCCAAAGCAGCAAAACACAGGAGAAGCAAATCAGATAATTATTGTTTTCATTTGTCTTTGAGGTTTCTCAGTTTCCCAGGAGAAAATCCTAGCGAAGGGATTTTTCAGAAAATGTGACAGTGACATCGCTGGGTGCTGTCCCTCAGTGCTGGCCCTGTCACAGCCAGGCTGAGCTCAGTGCAGGGACACCCGGCCATGTCCCACATCCTAACAGAGCCTTTCCCTCTCTCCTCCTGCAGTTCCCTACCAGCAGAGCCCCTACAGCTCCGGGAGCAGCTCCTCTGCCATCCAGTGCTACCGCTGCGGGGACACCTGCAAGGGAGAGGTCGTGCGCGTGCAGAGCAACCACTTCCACATCCGCTGCTTCACCTGCCAAGGTAGGACCAGGGCCCCCAAAAAGCTCCTGGCCAGGCTGTCCCACAGCCCCAGGACAGACCTGTAGGTCCCAAACATGCCCATCTGTGTCTGGGGGGTCACTGTGTCCTTCAGCTGCTCCCAGAGCAGGAGGAGTGTCACGGTGTTCACATGTTGAGGGAAGAGATGAAGATCTGACTCCATGTTTCAGAAGACTTGGTTTGTTATTTTATGATAGATATTACATTCAAACTATACGGAAAGAATAGAAGAAAAGATTCCATCAGAAAGTTAGCTAAGCTAAGAACAGAAAAGAATGATAACAAAAGCTTCTGTCCCAGACAGAGAGCCTAAGCCAGCTGACTGTGATTGGGCATTAATTAGAAACAACTCTATATGACCAATCCCAGATGCACCTGTTGCATTCCACAGCAGCAGATAATCAATGTTTACATTTTGTTCCTGAGACCTCTCAGCTTCTCAGGAGGAAAAATCTTAAAGAAAAGATTTTTCATAAAAGATGTCTGCGGCAGAGGAGGAGCAGGGAGATGAGGCAGTGCCAGGTGGGGGAGATGCCCAGAGCAGAGCTGAAGCTGGGTGACACATCCCTGTGACATCCCTGTGACACCCCTGTGACATCCCTGCCACCTGCCCATGGCCTGCAGCTGACCTGGTGCCCCCAGGGCTGGCAGGAGTGCAGCAGAGGTTCTTTGGATGCTGCTGAGCTGCAGGGCTGTAAAGCTCATGGTGCAGAGCTGCTGCTGCTCAGCTCCTTTATGGCAGCAGCTGCTCTCAGCCGGCTCCATGGCTGTAAAATTCCCCATTCCAGGGCTCTTTAAAGCCTCTTCCGAGCTCCCTGTGCCAAGCATGATCCCATCCCCCTGGCCACCCTCTTGCCAGAGCAGAGGGGTTGGCTGCAGGGCACACTGTCCCCACCCTGCTGCACCCCAGGTTTTTGGGACTGGGATCTGTCCTGGGATGCCCTCAGGGCTGCCTTGCACCTGCAGGGCCCCGTGCTGAGCTCGCTGCCCTTCCCCAGCCCGGCCTGGAGGCTCCAGCAGGAGCTGAGCATCCAGACAAAGAGCTCAGACAGCTTCAAAGGGAGCAGGAGCCAGCAGGGAGAGCCTGGCAGAGCTCACTGCCCGATTTCCAAGTGAAAGGGAATAAATAATGAGAGGAAATCCTCCTGTCTCACCTTCCCTCGCAGCTCTCACCTCCTGCCACCTCTGGCTGGCTCCAGCCCTGCTGAGCTGGCACAGGACTGAGCCAGGGGTGTGCTGTTCCACAGCAAACAGGGCACACAGCAGACTCCTTTTACATTGCATTTGCTTCCTGATGCTGTCCCTGCATTGCTGGCCTGTCTCTGCATTGCTGACGGGGTGTTTGGGACACCCAAATTCCCTGCTGGGTACCCCAGCTGTGACCGTGTTCACAGGGGTCTGAGGATGAGGGAAGAGATGAGGATCTGACTCCATGTTTCAGAAGGTTCAATTTATTTTTTTATTTTATATATTACATTAAAACTATACTAAAAGAATAGAAGAAAAGGTTTCATCAGAAGGCTGGCTAAGAATAGAATAGCATAGAATGATCACAAAGTGCCTGGGACTCTCTGTCTGAGACAGCTGGGCTGTGATTGGCCATTAATTAGAAACATCCAACATGGATCAATCCCAGATGCACCTGTTGCATTCCACAGCAGCAGATAATCAATGTTTACATTTTGTTCCTGAGGCCTCTCAGCTTCTCAGGAAGAAAAATCATAAAGAAAGGATTTTTCAAAAAAGATGTCTGTGACACCCAGCCCCAGGGAGCAGCTGGGCCAGGGGATGCCCAGGGCAGGAGCTGCTCCCTGTGCCCTGCAGCTCCAGCTGTCCCCTGCCACCAGGGACAGGACAGAGGGGCTGAGGGACAAACCCAGACCAAGGTGGGCTGTGCCAGCGGTGCCCAGTCACTCTGTGGTCCCTCCCCACCCTGCCACCCTGCAGGATGGGCTGGGCACGGTGCCCACCCTGTGCCAGCCCAGTGCCAGGCTGTGCTGCCCTGCAGGTCCCTCAGGCTGCAGAGGCCGTGGGTGGGAAGGAGGGAGATGATGCTGAGGCCAGGGCTGGCCACGTCTGCTCGGATTCCTGTGATGGGCTGTGCACCACCCACGCTCCCCACAGCAGGGCCGGACACGTGGAGAAACGAGCAGGGAGAGCTCGGAGTGCTGCCAGGAGCTGCTCCCGTCAGGGCAGGGCTCCGTGGCACTGCAGGTGGCTCAGCACGGGGCTGGCAGGGACAACACCGCTCCCCAGCTGTCCCCAGCCCTGCCCTCATCTTCCTCACCCCTCGGAGGGGCTGAGCCGGGGCAGGGCAGCAGGTTGGGAGGGGATGCCCAGGCTGTGCCCGTGCCCGTGTCCGTGCGTGCTGCAGGAGCGCTGCAGTGCGGGGGCTCCTGCCGGCTGCGGGAGCGGCCCCGTCCCACAGCCCGACACTGACATCTGCTGGGAGAGCCCAGAGCCCGGCTGGCCAGGGAAACCCTCGGAGATACCTGCGGGAGGCAAGGGAAACTCTGGGAGATGGGAAACCCTCGGAGATAGATGCCTGCAGGAGGAAGGGGAAACCCTGGGACATGCGTGCAGGTGGCTGGAGAAACCCTTGGAGATAGATACCTGCAGGAGGCAAGGGAAACTCTGGGAGATGGGAAACCCTCGGAGATAGATGCCTGCAGGAGGAAAGGGAAACCCTGGGAGATGCGTGCAGGTGGCTGGAGAAACCCTTGGAGATGGGAAACCCTGGAAGATACCTGAAGGAAGCTGGAGAAACCCTCGGAGATAGATGCCTTCAAGAGGCAAGGGAAACCCTCAGAGATGCCTGCAGGAGGTTGGAGAAACCCTTGGAGATAGATACCTGCAGGAGGCAAGGGAAACCCTTCGAGATGCCTGCAGGAGGAGCGGGAAGCCCTTGGAGATAGATGCCTGCAGGAGGTGAGGGAAAACCTGGGAGATAAACACCTCCAGGAAAGGGGAAACCTTGGGAGATGCCTGCAGGAGGCTGGAGGAACCCTGGGACATAAGAAACCCTCAGAGATACCTGCAGGAGGTGAGGGAAACCCTGGGAGATAAATACCTGTAGGAGAGGGGAAACCCTGGGAGATGCCTGCAGGTGACCAGAGAAGGACCCACCCTGATGGCTGCGTGTCCTCTCCCCAGTGTGTGGCTGTGACCTGGCCCAGTCAGGTTTCTTCTTCAAGAACCAGGAGTACATCTGCACCCAGGACTACCAGCAGCTCTACGGGACCCGCTGCGACAGCTGTGGGGACTTCATCACCGGCGAGGTCATCTCTGCCCTGGGCAGGACCTACCACCCCAAGTGCTTTGTCTGCAGCACCTGCAGGTCAGTGCCAGCTGCTGGCCCCTCTGAGAGGCCCCAGGGCAGGAGCAGCCCCGGGGGTCCCTGCTGACCCCTCCCCACGTGTCCCTGGCCGCAGGAAGCCGTTCCCCATCGGGGACAAGGTGACGTTCAGCGGGAAGGACTGCGTGTGCCAGAACTGCTCCCACGCCCTGCTCAGCACCAAGCCCATCAAGATCCACGGGCCCAGCCGTAAGTTGTGCTGTGCTGGGTGCACACAGAGGGGCCACGTGTCCCTGCAGGGGTGACAGGGCGGGTTTGGGGTCACCCTGCAGCCCTGCAGAGCCAGGGTGCCACCAAGGGGTGGGAGGAAGGACGGGGCAGTCCTGCAGCTCCACCCAGGATTGCAGCGGTTTTGGGAACTTCCCTGGCCTGCTGGTGACCTGGGCAGGTGCCACCACCCTGGCAGAGCCCATGGGGAGGTTCTGGAGCTGTGTCCAAGCTGCTCCAAGTGGCTGCCCTGGGAATGCTCCCGGGGCTGTCACAGCACTGGTGTTCCTTGCTGGGTCTGCCAGCACTGAAAGGGTTTTTCTGCTCATCCCCTTGCCCTGGTGAACCCCAGAGATCCCCTAAAAGTGATCTGGAGTGATGGACAAGCTCTTTAGGGTGGGTTTGGCCTTGCTTTTGACCCCAGGTTGGGAGGACCTTCCCTTCCTGCCCTGGAGCTCAGTGCCTGACACAGAGTCCTGCAAGACTGGGTGTCACCCGTGTTCCTTGTCACCCAGCCACCATGGTGACACTTCTGGTGGCGGGGTTGGTGCTGATGGACCCCCTGTGAGTCGATGGAGGGGACGTGGCAGGGTTGGGCTGAGCCAAAGGACAGGAATTCCCTCATCTTCAGGCCAGGCTCTGCCTCCCTCCTGCCTTCCTCTCCCTCCCCATCCCCTTCCCAGCCCTGCAGCAGGGTTACCTGAGGACACCATGCCCTATTCACGGCAGCTGCAGGCACACAGAGCTGTCCCCGGTGGCCCTGGTGGCCCTGGCAGTGCCACCAGCAGGGTGGCAGGGAGCTGTGCTGCATTCCACAGCGAAGGCATCCCCAGGAGCAGCCTCTCCCTGCGGCCCCTGCCCTGCAGGACCCGGAGGAGGGAGCAGATCCTGCCTTTGTGCAGGGCTCTGAAATGTTCCAGGCAGGCATTTGGGACAGAGCGGGCTGGGCTGGGCTGGGCTGGGCTGGCTGCTCCTGCTTCCCCGTGGCAGGGACGGGGTTAAACGAAACCCCCTCCAGACAGCGCTGGAGCCCAGGGAAGGGGAGGACAAGGAGGAATCAAGGTCAGGGCTCCAGGCCTGTGTGCTTCCTGCCGGGAGCCAGGGGAGGAAGGGAAGGGAGGCCGGAGCGGGGCCGGACGCGAGCGGACAGCACAGCCCTTCCTCTGCCGGACGCTTCCCCCTTGGGCACCTGCCAGCCCACGGGGCCCTCCCACAGCCCAGCACAGAGTGAAACTGCCTGGAAAACACCCTGAGGTCATCGAGTCCAAGCTGTGACACAGCAGCTCCTCCTCAGCTCAATGCTGGCACTGGGTGCCAGATCCAGGCTGTGAAACCCAGCAGGGACAGTGACCCAGCCCCTCCTGACCATTCCAGTGCCCAGGTGCTGCTTCAGATAAGAGTTTGTTCCTGATGTCCAGCTGGCCTGGCTCAGACTGGGCACCCCGAGGGAAGCCCAGGGCTGTGGCTGGGTGCCAGAGGTACCTCTGAGGTCCCACATTTCCTGTGCTGGGGACAAGCAGAGGTGACAGAAATCCACAGTGAAATGGTCCCCAAGAGGCTGCCTCAGAAGCAGGGTGTTTGTAACAGCATTGTGGTGTTTTTGGGGTTACCCAGACAGAGGAGGAAGGAATGAATGTGACTCCATGTTCCTAGAAGGAAAATTTATTATTTTATGATCTATATTATATAAAAGAATAGTAAACTATACTAAAGAATGGAGAAAGGATACACACAGAAGGCTGAGATACTAATGGAAACTCATGACTCCTTCCAGAGTCCCGACACAGCTGGACCAGCAAAACACAGGAGAAGCAAATCAGATAATTATTGTTTTCAGTTTTCTCTGAGGCTTCCCGGCTTCCCGGGAGAAAATCCTGGGCAAAGGGATTTTTCAGAAAATATGACAGTGACACAGCATCATCCCTGGCTCTCCCTTCGGGGCAGGGCTTTCCCCTGGGGGTGAGGGCACTGCCAGGGCTGTCACACAGCAGCTGGGGGTGTCCCTGCTGTGCCCACATCCCCTCCTGTCCCCCCAGACTGCGCTGGCTGCAAGGAGGAGATCAAGCAGGGCCAGTCCCTGCTGGCCCTGGAGAAGCAGTGGCACGTCAGCTGCTTCAAGTGCCAAACGTGCGGGGTCATCCTCACCGGCGAGTACATCAGCAAGTGAGTGCCACCTGGGGGCTGGGGCCGGCCTGGCACTCCCTGGCACTCACCTGGCACCCACCCACCCCTCTGTGCCTCTCCCCAGGGATGGCATCCCCTACTGCGAGTCCGACTACCACGCCCAGTTCGGCATCAAGTGCGAGACCTGCGACCGCTACATCAGCGGCCGTGTCCTGGAGGTGAGTGCGTGCCAGGCCCTGGAGGTGTGTGCCCTGCTGCTGTGGGACCCCTGACTCTGCTTGCTGTGGGAGGTTTTGAGGAGAGCAGAAGGTCCTGCAAGTTTCCAGTGGGGATGAAGCCGTCTCTGGTTTCTCCATGGGACGTGGAGGCCTCCAGGGCCACACCAGTTTGCTCATTGGTCCCTGTGGGCAGCAGTGAGGGTGGCAGGGTCGCTCAGGGCCAGGGGACAGGGCCAGGCCAGCGTGTCCTGCCTGGCTCAGGGCTCCTCTCTGCTCCCCTCACAGGCAGGAGGGAAGCACTACCACCCCACCTGTGCCAGATGTGTGCGCTGCCACCAGATGTTCACAGAGGGAGAGGAGATGTACCTGACAGGTAACGTGGGGGGTTTGGGTTCTCCTGGCACCTCCTGGTAAGGGTCTCTGTGTGTGCAGTGCCAGGGATCCCCTCCCACAGCCCTCCAGCTGCTGTGTGCACAAATCCCTGCTCTCCATGAGCCCTGGCCCTGAGCTGGGAACTCCTCCCCTCCCTGCACACCTGGGCACAGCCCAATCTCTGCTCACTGAGCCCAAACGTGGGGGTGTTGTGGTGTCCCCAGCTCGGTGTCACCCCAGTTTAACCAGCAGCAACTGGTTGGGCTGCCCCAAATCCACCCGAGTTTGCTGTCCCAGCTGAGGTTTGGCCCTGCCCTGCTCCATTCCCTGTCACAGACACTCATTCCCATGGCACTGCTGGAGGTGGCAGGGACGTGGCAGGGGGACCAGGGTGACAGTGTGTGAGCACTGTCCCTTTGCTGCCCTGCAGGAACTGAGGTGTGGCACCCCATCTGCAAGCAGGCAGCCAGAGCAGAGAAGAAGCTGAAGGTAGGCACCAGGGTGAGGGGTGGCACATCCCAGGTGCCATTGTCCTGTGTCCCAGCTGGAGCTGGACTGTTCTGGCAGTGCCCACAGCTGGGGTGGCTTCCTGAGGCTGCCCAGAGGATGGTGGGTTGCCATGGCTCGGGCTGTGACAGTGACATTCAGCCCCAAGCCAGCAATCTCTCCTTCCCTGCCCTCACCTGCCCTCCCCGTTTGTGCCTCCACAGCACAGAAGGACGTCAGAAACCTCCATCTCACCCCCTGGCTCCAGCATTGGCTCCCCCAACCGTGTCATCTGTGTAAGTCCAGCCTGCCCCTCCCCAGGGGTGGCAGCAGCAGCTGCTCTTCAGTGGGACAAGCCCAGAATTTGGGGACAGCACGGACAAATCCCCCTGTCCCTGCAGCACGCTGTGCCACCAGTGCCATGGCACAGCTTGGGGGCACTCAGGGGCACAGCCCTGCCCTCCCAGCTCCTCTGCCCTCCCCTGCTGCCTCTCAGGCCCCTCCTCTGCCCTCTCCCTGCTGCTGGGGTGGCACTGAGCTCTGTCTGCCCTGTGCTGGCTCCACACTGCGCTCCAGCCTCCCCTCCCTTCTCTCCTCCTCCTCCTTTCCATCTCGGTGTCTGTCTCTCCCTCTCCCCAGGCTAAAGTGGATAATGAGATCCTTAATTACAAAGACCTGGCAGCTCTTCCCAAGATTAAAGCCATCTATGAGGTGCAGCGTCCCGACCTCATTTCCTACGAGCCCTATCACAGATACACGTCGGACGAGACGCTGGAGAGATATAGCTATGGGGAGGTACTGATAGAGCTGTGGGGAGGAACTGAGGCTGCAGGAGCCCTGCAGGCTGGGCACAGCTCTGGGGGGCTCCTCCATGCCAGGGGGAGCCGTGCAGGGAGGCAGGAGTGGGGCAGGGCCTTGGGGACGGTCAGTGATGGAGGTGAAGTGATGCTGCTGTAGTCAGAGATCCCAGTGAGCTCAGGGCTGTGTGAGAGGAGTGATGGGCAGGGAATGCACCCTCACAGACCTGGGCATGGCCCTGGCAGGCAATCCTGCCTGCAGCACCTCTGGGGCACCTCTGGAGCACCCAAAGTGGTGCTGGAAGAGGATTTGGTGGCAGCAGCACCTGCAGAGGATTTGGCAGCAGCCCCTCTCCCATGCCCACCCCGAGGTTCTGCCACAAGCCTGGTGTCCTGCAGCCCACCAGGATGGTGCAGGCAGTGTGGCCATGGCCCTGTGTGCCTCCCCCTCTCCACAGAGGTGTCTGAGAGCTGCTGATTGCTCCTGCCAGTTCCTCTCCCTGCCCAGTTCAGCTCTGGCTGCACCCCCAGTGTACCCCAGGCAATCCAGCTGCTGTGGGAGCCCAGTCTGTCCCTGTCCTCCTAACCATGTGCTGTCTCTCTCTCTCTCTCTCTCTCTGCTTTCCTCCTCACTTTGCCTCCTGCTGCCTGCAGTCCCTGGGGACCCTCTCCCCATACTCACAGGTAATGTCCCTGTGGGCACTGGCTCTGTCACCTGCTGCCCCAGGATATCCCTCTGCCCAGAGCCTCTGCTGCTCATCCCCCTGGGCTGGTGGCTGTCCCAGGGTGTGGGGAGATGGGAGAGGGCTGCTGTTGTATCTGTCAGGCCCCAAGAGAGCAGGGTGAAAGCCCTTTCTGGCAGAATGGCCCCAGGGTGCAGCTTCTGCCCCGTGGAGGCAGCCCCAGTGACTGGGGACAAATTCAAGGGGAGGGGACAATCTCCAGGCAAAAAACCTCTGTCACCTGCTCCCACACCTGGGCTGTGCTGCCTGTGCCTTGGCAGGGCAGGCTGGGGACCCCTCCAGCCTCAGGGGACACTCAGAGCCAGTGTCACACACAGGGCACCCCCAAGCTGAGGACACTCAGAGCCAGTGCCAGTGTCACACACAGAGCACCCCCGGGCAGGGGACACTCAGAGCCAGTGCCAGTGTCACATACAGAGCACCCCCGGGCTGGGGACACTCAGAGCCACTGCCAGTGTCACATACAGAGCACCCCCAGGCTGGGGACACTCAGAGCCAGTGCCAGTGTCACACACAGAGCACCCCCCAGGCTGGGGACACTCAGAGCCAGTGTCACACACAGAGCACCCCCCAGGCTGGGGACACTCAGAGCCACTGCCAGTGTCACACACAGGGCACCCCCAGGCTGGGGACACTCAGAGCCACTGCCAGTGTCACACACAGGGCACTCCCAGGTTGGGACCCGTGCAGCCTCAGGGGACACTCAGAGCCAGTGCCAGTGTCACACACAGGGCACCCCCAGGCTGGGGACACTCAGAGCCAGTGCCAGTGTCACACACAGAGCACCCCTGGGCTGGGGACACTCAGAGCCAGTGCCAGTGTCACACACAGAGCACCCCCGGGCTGGGGACACTCAGAGCCACTGCCAGTGTCACACACAGGGCACCCCCGGGCTGGGGACACTCAGAGCCAGTGCCAGTGTCACACACAGGGCACCCCCAGGTTGGGACCCCTTCAGCCTCAGGGGACACTCAGAGCCAGTGCCAGTATCACACACAGAGCACCCCCAGGCAGGGACCCACCATGGGACACCCCCATGCCAGTCTAACCCCGCTCCCCACACCTTCCCCACGCCAGGACATCTACGAGAGCTTTGACCCGCGGCAGAGGCGAGCCTCCAGCCCCGGCTACATCGACTCCCCCACCTACAGCCGCCAGGGCATGTCCCCCACCATGCCCAGGTCCCCCCACCACTTCTACCGCTCAGGTGAGGATCTGGGCTGCGGCCCCACCGCCAGGGGGAGAGAGGATCGCAAAAACATCGCTGGGATTTCTTTCTGTGCTTTCTCATCTGGCCAGCAGCAGGCGGCCCGGGTGGCCAATGGTGGGAGCAGTGGTGCCCATCCTCTGTTCTCCAAACTCTTCTGAGCAGCAAGGAGAGGCCAAGGGGAATTTGGGGCTCAGGCAGGACGGGGTCCAGCTCTGGTGCGGACCCCTCGGCTGCCCGGGCGGCTCTGGGAGAGGTGTGCAAGAGATGCTTATGCCCAGAGAGCTCCTTGCACACGCACACGGAGCACGGCAGGGAGCAGAGCATGCCTGAGCCGTGTCTCCCGTCCTTTGGAGCTGCAGATGAAGGACCAGAACCCTCTGAGCTCACCGAGAGCCCTCTGCACGGCCCGGGGCTCCTCAGTGCCTCTGCAGCCCGCTCGGCTTTTCCCAGCCCCGCTCCGGGCTGTGCTCTGCATCCCGGCGATGCG